ACTATTAAGAATTTGTATGGGAAAATAAGAGTTCTCACAAACTGGCACACTCTAAAGAATAGTTTAGTTATACAGAATAACAATATATTTGGTTTAAAATCCAGCATCCAATTCTAAGTATATACTTTCAAATCATTCCACATGTACCTAAGGGAATATGAAGGTGTTCAATAAAGCATTGGTTAAAAGAACAAAAAAACGGTGACCTAAATAAACATCTATCCAGGGGGAGAGAAATTAAGGCATATACCTACGATGAAATGCAACATAGCAACTGAAAAGAATGAGATAAATTTACATACATCAGCATGGAAAAAATCTCAAATAAAAACATTTGATGCAAAAGTGAGTAACAAAATGCTCTATACCATATAATGCCATTTATGTAAATCTTAAGACCCAAACACCATTTATTCATTGTTAACGCAAACATGCACACCTAGGGGAAACATTCAGACTTTCAAAGGAAGAATCTGCACTAACTATAAGACAATAGTTACCTCTGAGAGAAAGGACTGCGAAAAGGATTTCAATTACGTGTAGTTTTTTATTTTCAAAAATCCAATACAAAAACCAATTTTTGTGTGCAAATGTGTACTTCTACAACATGAAAGAATACAGAAGCACCCGGGGCGCCTGGGTGGCTCAGTCAGTTGAGCTTCCCACTTTGGCTTAGGTCATAATCTCACAGTCCATGAGTTCGAGCCCTGCGTTGGGCCCTGTGCTGACAGCTCAGAGCCTGGATCCTGCTTCGGATTCTGTGTCTCCCTCTCTCTCTGCCCCTCCCCTGCTCATGCTCTGTCTCTCTCTGTCTCTCAAAAATGAATAAACGTTAACAAAAAATTAAAAAAAAAAAAATACAGAAGCACCCCATCATGAATATCTGAATTTGCCTTTCTCTCAAGACCTTGAGAAATGGAAGGCCAACCTTAAAACAGACTTAGCAAAAGTAAAAAGTAGTAAGAATAAAAAATATAAATGAACTAAAAGCAAACATTGTATTTTGACTCATGAAATGAAAATGCAAGGAGTTTTCAATAAAATCTCAAAAGTCTGTTTCTGGCGTGCATCACCATCCCCTGTATTTGCAGAAGTACTAGGTATTACGGCTTGTATTATGGCCTGGTGTTCTTTTGGGGGTAGATTTGTGGAGTTTTTCTTTTCAAATAATCAGAATTGTGTCTGTTGAAGCTATCACATGATGGAAAATGCCTAAGACAAGAAAAAAAGAAAGAAGGCCCATAGGGTCACTATACAACCCTGATTTACCTAACAGAATTGTCTCATTTTGAAACACATGTATTCTTTGTAAAGCCCAGGTGAAATGAAGAATTATAAGTTTATTATGGGATATTACTTTAATCCAAACTGTTAAAAGATGGAACTGTTGTAAGAGAGGTTTCTAAAGCTTTACATAACACTGTGGTTTAAATAACCTTTTAGGAGCGCCCAGGTGTCCTGTTTCGGCTCAGGTCATGATCTCGCGGTCCGTGAGTTCAAGCTCCACGTCGGGCTCTGTGCTGACAGCTCGGAGCCTGGAGCCTGCTTCGGGTTCTGTGTCTCCCTCTCTCTCTGCCCTTCCCCTGCTAGTGCTCTGCCTCTCAAAAATAAATAACCATTACAAATAAATCAAGAGCTTTTTAAACTCATGGTTCAACAGAGCAATGTAGATAATGGTTGACAGAGAAAAGAACAGTGAGCAGCCTGAAAAAGAAGATGAGCTAAAAAGTTTTCAGAAATAAGGCAGGACTTCAGTTTACGCTGAAAAACACCAACATGAACTTGTGACCTGAAAAATATTGACAATGACTTTTCTTCACCCTGACCCTAAATGGGCCCAAACAAGCTCCGGTATCATCCTGCCTACAAACAGTGCGTGTCTTTACACCCAGATGCTGCTTTCTAGTGCTACTTGTCACTGAAAGGAACCGATGCTGCCAAGGCAGTGACTGACTCCAAGTCTTGGAGCAGGGAGAGAAACAAAATCAGCGAGACATAATATTACCGAGAAGCACAGATGCTTTCCAAGATGTTCGTGCTGATGTTAAGAAGGAAAAAGAAGAACCCTGATGGGCCCTCCGATGGCCCTGTTATGAGAATTTGAGCCTCAGGCATGATCGGATCTATAACAAAGTAGATGAAATCAGCTAAATCCAAAAAAGGCATAAATCCCTAAGTCCGTGATGATGCTGTGAACTAAGACATCATGCAGAAAACGCTAATAATACTTGCAGAAAACACGTTCTACTGACCTACCCACTCAAGTTGTTGACGCCCCCGAAGGATACAATTAGGTTTTTTTTCCTTTCCTTGTGTAAAACAGTGTCAGCAAATTGTGACTGGCATCTCTTTCACTAAAAGAAGTCAAAATCTCTGGGAACCTTTAGCAAAAGATAAACTTTACATATGGAACATGCAATTGTCATTTGATGTTTTAATTTTGCTATCAAGGACATACCCCAACTTAAATGTGGTGATGGGACTAGGACAGAATCTGACCATGACCAGTCATTTCTGTCCCATGCGAGGTTTATAAGGACAGGCAATCTAAACTTTACACAAGTATACTTTATAAGGACTTTGTTTTTATTTTATCTTATTTTAAAAAATGTTTAACGTTTGTTTATTTTTGAGAGACAGACAGACAACATGAGTGGGGAAAGGGCACAGAGAGAGGTAGACACAGAACATGAAGCAAGCTCCAGGCTCTGAGCTGTCAGCACAGAGCCCGATGCGGGGCTCGAACTCACAAACTGTGAGATCATGACCTGAGCCGAAGTCGGACGCTCAACCGACTGAGTCACCCAGGCGTTTTTAAAAAGTATTTTATTCACTTAAAACGTTTGACTCTAGGTTTTCATTTAGAAAGATGTGTTAAAAATCTTTATCTTATTCCTCTCTCTCAAAAAAATATCCAAATTAAGTATTTGTTTGGTTGTTTTCTTTATTTTATTGAAGCACTGCTAAATAGGAATAAGTTTTCCTCTACTCTATCAAGAGCCATTCACTGTAATCTAGTCCTGGTCCTTATCTCTATTCTAGTGTTCTGTTGCTAACAAAGGCACCCAAGCTCAATCTTGACATCAGTCTTAAAGTTTTTCTTATCAGCTGTCTGTGACTGTTATTCAGAAATTTCACAAATCCTTTTGAACTCACATAAACAATTTATGCCTACGCTGCTACTTGAAGTTACTTAAGTCCCACAATGACCTTCTTTTCATTTGTTCCAAACTTATCTCAAACTTTATCAAAAGTTGCCTCTCTTTCTAGAATTTTAGAATTTCTTGAACAAGACTGCGCTCAACCACGGTCTTTTTAGATTAAGGGCCACTCGGCCTCTTGATCTCCACTCCTTCACCAGGACTGCTACCCCCCCTCCCAGTCTAGCGGATCTTCTCTGGCTGGCCCTTAGTTCCATTACATCCTTCCTGAGATGTGATTGCCAAAGGGACTCCTCAGGAGGAAATGCTACAGAGTATGTAGATAAAGGTTGGATAACCGCTGCTGCTCTTCAAAAACTCTCATCGATGTCTAACGTTGTACTGGGATTTCTGTCTTCATGAGACTACTGAGCTGCTATTCTCTATACCCTTAACGATCTTTTGGAAGTTACAGTTCTGGATGACTTAGAACTATTTTCGGTTCCTTTTTTAACACTCCATTGCCAATTTTCAAAATCAGTCCACGATTTGTTGTTGCTCAGGAACACAAATGTCTAAGGCCTTCTTGTTATCTGGATCTATCATGTATCTTCCAGTATCTGAAAGATATTTTCATGTAGTTATGTGTCCGGTTTATGTATAAAAATGCTAAGTAATTCCAGTCCTAGCATGATGTCAAGGACCTGATCAACCATTTACATTTCTTTATCTATGAAATCACACTTTTATCCCTCCTGGTTGTCCCTTCTCGCCAGATCCCTTCTCTCAATTCCATGGTGATTTAGCAGAATACTCACTCGTTCAAGAAATATTTATTGGCATCTACTCTGCTATGTACAAGAATAAGGTGTTAAGAACATGGCAAAGGAAACAGAGTGTCCCTGCCCTAAAGAATTTCTAGCGATTATTTATTTATCTGCCTATTTTACTCCCTCACAAACACTAGTTAGGCACGATTTCTTTACTCATAAATCATTTGTTTTTCTTCTAAAAGAATATTATTTATGTTCTTGGCTTTAGAACTCAAAAGATGACCACTGAGGACAGCGAAGACGACAATGAATCATGCTAACACTTTCAAATCTTTCTAGGTCTGCACCGCCCAATTCGGTAAGCCACTAGTCCTGTGGCTATTTACATTTAAATTAATTACAATGAAACAGGATTAAAAATTCAGTTTCTCAGTTGCACGAGCTACATATCAGGTGCTTAACAGATATATGTGGCTAGTGGCTACCATATCGGCAGCATCGATTTAGACAATTTCCATCATCACAGAAAGTTCTTATATAAGGGGTCATACCATGGCCACATACAAAAACAGGTTACACATTTTACAAATAATTACTGGCTTTTTCATTGCTCACATGATGTCACCTCGTACTAGTAAGTTACTTACATTCCTCTCGTCAAAGGAGTCTAAACTATCTTAAACACAGACCACGATTGAGTGTAGTTTTAAGTATGATGTAACCCAAAATAATCATTCCTTTTTATATCTTATTAATAGCAGGATATATAACTGGACGTGCATAATGAAAGTACCTAACGGGGCGCCTGGGTGGCGCAGTCGGTTAAGCGTCCGACTTCAGCCAGGTCACGATCTCGCGGTCCGGGAGTTCGAGCCCCGCGTCGGGCTCTGGGCTGATGGCTCGGAGCCTGGAGCCTGTTTCCGATTCTGTGTCTCCCTCTCTCTCTGCCCCTCCCCCGTTCATGATCTGTCTCTCTCTGTCCCAAAAATAAATAAACGTTGGAAAAAAAAAAAAAAAAGAAAGTACCTAAATAATAGCAATAATGAAATCATCAATTCAACATGGGAAACATCGTCAAGAAACTTACCCTCCTTCACTTTCTGCTTCCTCTGAACTATTACCTGTTGTGGGACTTTGAACGGTGGCAAGTCTTCTTTTTCTAGCTCTGTGTTGAGGACTTATCCTATGAACAGTTATTTTCCCTCCAAGTTCACCTTGTATATATTCCTCCAGCTTTGGAACGATTTCTTTAAGGACTCTGATTTCCTCTTTGAGTTCTTCCATATTTGTCAGTAATTCATTTAACTTCTCCAGTATCTGAAGCTGCCTTCCTTGAAAGATTGCTACTGTTCCACGGCCATTATACATTTCATCTTGAAAAGTCATCGCATCAAACTTACTACCCAGAGACAGAAATTTAGGTAAATTCAGTGCTGTCCTTGATTTACGAGCCTTGTGGTACCATAAGAGAAGCAAGCTGATTCCAGTAGTTCCCACCATGATGCCAAATATCAGTTCTTTATTTGTGGAATGAGGCATTTCTTGGGTTTTGTTTCTAAAATTGAAAGCATAAATGTAAATGAATGTCGTTTCTGTCTTTGCCCAAGACAAAAATATGAAGGCTTTCTCAATCAACAAAAGCCAAGTCTACAGGATAAACAACACACACGCATACACACACACAATAAATCATAAATGGGAATATGTTTACCTCTGAAAATGTAGTGGCCTGATAGAAATATTTGCTTTAAGGATATCACTGAAGTGCGGTGAAAAGTAGCAACTCCAATTCGGAATCTGTATTCTACATGACTGATTTGAAACGTACTGTATCATGTATTTTTAAAGAGTATGATAATGGTAAAAGAAAAGCATCATCATACATTTCTGAAAAAAAAAAAAACGACTTAAGAATTCAAACTGTGCTTAACTGTGTTTGAACCCCTTATAAAATGAGTGTGCTGATTTCTGGGTCTTATCTTTAAGGAAGTCCAAGGAGCTTTTTCTTAGCACCCAGTTCACATGTATACTTAGAACAATAAACGACATTTTAAAAGCCCAAGGATTGAGAATATAAAACATAGAAAGCTCTGGCAAGTTTGTAACGCACCTCATGTCTGTTTTATTCAACGTGGAGAGCAAAACTGCTAACACGTACAGGCGTTATCTCTGGTCTTCTTTTTACCCGGAATTCCTCTGCTCCTTACATGTCTATTTCTGTCTGAAGTCCTAATGTTGTTATTTTCTTTAAATTTTCCTATTTTTTAAAGTAACAAGAATGTCATTTCTTAGAGTCTTTTCTCCATCTGAACTTTCAGTGTTTGCATGTAAGGCTCAAGCCTTAGCCTGCCTAATTCCACATAAACTCAGCTACTTTGACTAAATGCATCATAATCTTTCTTTGGTGTACCCCGTCTTCACTAGTTTTATTGCTCATCTCTGGTTTTAAAATCAGAAGACCATTAAAGGCAAAAAAAATATAAAGCTCCCTTTTCTTCCCAGACTTTAAAATGGCAGTAAATATATTAGCATTGTGATAAACTTCTGTGATTAGAACAAAATACACTGAGGCTTTTTATAGACTTTGAAGCTCTCACAATTATTTTCCCATCAATTTCCACTATTGTGTAAACAGGTAAACATCTATATTAAACGTTGTTAGCAACTTGGGGAAAATGTTACAAATAATGGTAAACTGTCCATTACAGGTATTTAAATTCACAAAATTTTTGGTTTGTTTTTCTTGACACTTTCTCCAGGAGATTAATCACTTTGATTCCCAAGAAAGAGGAAACAAACGAAGTTAAGTCCTATGATCTCCCAGGTTATTACTAATTGGAGGCAACTTCTGGACTATGGCACAGAAGGGGAAATCCAAACAAAGCCTGGTAGTTTACTGAGTTGAACAGAGATCAGAGTTCAGAGAAACCGAAGCACCTAGAATTTGTGTCACACAGTCCTGAAGATGAAGGGGAGTATGTAGACAAAGAGCTCTAGAAATATGCATAGGGGTCTCTTAAGTCTTTAAATGAATACCAGTCTGCATATGCACGGAGTGAAACCCCATCAGACTAGTCAAAAGAACAATTTCCAGAAAGCATATATATATATATATATATATATATATATAT